TGTGTGCGCAGACGTGATCCATTGACGGTGAGAAAGAGGCGGCTCAGCACAGGCCCGAGGGATGGCTGTGCGTCAGCGGAATGCCTGTTGTCGCGGTCATCGGCGCTGTAAGGTGGGGGGGGGAGGGGACACTGGAGCGGATGCCACAGCACAAAGTCCTCTTAAGATCGGGCATGTACATATTTATATTGCATCAAAATTTAAATAATGCGAGGCCTCTTGTCTCTCTGAAAAAAATTTCACACATATCCGCATTTATTCTCTACCAGATAATGCAGAGACATCTGTGCTGGCATTTTGCCATCTTAAAAATATAATTGCATATTCTCCTATCGGAATCATTGCAGAAAGTGCATGTTTAAGCCCAATCGACTGGGTGGACGCAGAGGACTGCTCGTCTGTAGTCGACTACTGCGTCCTTTCGTTAGCAATTTCAGCAACGACGCATCACCTCCTTCCTCTCCAATTGGCCTCAGGGATCACCACGTCAACCAAATGTTTGGTGCCTACGATGAGGTTCTTTCCACCTGGATCCGCTATCTGCGCCAGTCGCCCGGGATCCAACAATATTCTCCTCTTTCCCGCCATCCTCGTCTCTGTAATCACTTATCACTACGTCATAACATAAGTGCGTGTCCTCCAGTGGGGCTTGGTGTTGTGTCTTCTTACGAACTGGACGTGCCGTCACACCCCAAATGCGGCATGTGTTATGAGGTGAGCATCGTCAATAAGGCCTGCCAGACTCCGATCTAGTTCCCCGTGGCTATGCAGCGCATCCAATGCGTGGTCTGCCTTGGGGACAAATGTCGCGGAGATAGTGCTGCATGACAGTACCCTGTAACCGGTAGAGTACCATCCCCCCCTCAGGCCATGAGCACGAGTGCGTCAACTATGCACGGCTCAAGTTCCAGAGAACTGCCTGCTGGTATGTCTGTCCACCCTCACCCCCCCCCCTTTGGGTTTACTGCAATAGGCTTTGATCCACCGGGTTACGGTTCCAGCACTCCCCCGTCCGCGACTGGAGTGATCCGCAGATCCTGCTGCAGGATGCCCGATTTGGCGTGAATTTGATGTGCCAGCTGGGTCATATGCCCTTCTCCTGCGTGGGCTGGTCAGAGGGCGCTCAGTCAGCCATCCGGGCAGCATCGGAGTTGAATATTGACGGTTAGTCGCATTTTGATTGGCCAGCTCTGCTGCTGACGCATATAGTTCTTTGTCCGGCAATGTGCACATTATGGATGCTGACATCCACCTCGTGTCAACCAACCTCTTGTCCGACG